TTATTATTTTATTACTTCCCTTCTACGTGACTTTACCGAAAGAAACAAGAAGATGAATCCCTGCAGTCACGAAAGCTTTAAATCGAAATGGGAGGCTGATCGATGCCCGAATGCGGTGAAGGGATGGCTCCCTATTGCTCAACCATGTTATGTATGCCGATGATCTGGTAATTGCTGCTCACTCGGAGGAAGAGTTGGAGACGCTACTGCTGAACCTGGAGCTTGCCACTAAGAGGTGGTGCCTTGCCATCAGCCCCACCAAAACTAAGCACCTGCCTGGGTATTTTGTACCATCGGACACTCCACCCCCACAACTCACAATTGGTGATAGGGCAGTTGTGGAGAGAGTGGAGAGTTTCCCATACCTGGGCAGTGTGCTCATGACCGACTCCGGTTCAACAGCAGAGGTCTCACTCCGAATCAGTCGAGCGGCATTATTTTTTCATCGGTTGCGTAACGCTGTGTGGAAGCAATTTGGTTTGTCGCTCCGCACGAAGCTTCAGGTCTTCTTGGCCATGGTCATTCCCTCCCTTCTCTACACTTGTGAAACGTGGACCCCCCTATTGGAACATCTTCGTCGGTTAGAAACATTTATGCTAGCCTGCCTACGATCCATCCTGGGTTTAACCAGGCTGGATTGTATGAGGAACTCACAAATCCTTGAAAGATCTGGACAAAGTCTCATTGGTGAGTTACATCCCGTTTCACAAAAAAAATCCCCTGATTTATAATATTTAAACAATGGATATTAATACGTAAATATACTAACAACATTATAAAGGCATGATAATAAAAGAAACATGGTTAATAAATGCATTCATTAATATGTCCTGTAGCTACAACAGCTCAGGGGAATGGTCGGAAAGTGAACACATTGGGCTCTATGGAGACACTACTTTTCACAACACTACTACACACTACTACACACTATGCACTAGATTACGATACGCTACTATACACTACACTACTATACTACGATACACAACACTACTACACACTAATATGCACTACATTACTATACACTAAACTACTATACTACGATACACTACACTACTACACACTACTGTGCACTACATTACTATACACTACAGTACTATACTCTACACTACTATACACTACACTACTATCCACTACACTCCGACACGTTACTATACACTACACTGCTATACACTACACTAATATACACTACTATACTATACACTTCTATACTCTACACTACTATACACTAGACTACACATTGGGCTCTATGGGGGCTCCTTAAGCGATTAGTCGTTAACAGGGGTGGTCGTTAACAGGGGTTCTACTGTATAAAGATATATTGCCTTATCTGTTATAATGTATGTGTAGTGACGAACTCAGAGACGAAAAGACTTGGAGGCACTTCTTTATTAGTGAACACCATTGGGATTAACAAACTTAATACAGAGGTATCTCGGTATACGTCGTTAATTCCTTCCAGAAGGTAGGACTTATACCGAAAATGACGTATACTAAACGAATTTTCCCATAATAAAGAAAGGGAAAGGAAATAATCCGTTCCAGAATATAAGAAATTATATTTTATATGGCATATTATACATTAATGGGGTTGTATAACATAATTTAGCCACTACTTATTACTAAAATGCATACATAAATTAAAATAAATGCATAAGTAAATTAAAATACATTGAAATAAAAATAAAATTTAACATCACTTTACCTTGCTGAGAGGAGTTGATAGCCTACGAGGATGGTGGTGAGGAAGGGGAGGAGTCGTGAACGGTGACTCATCCCGACCAATACAAGTTCTAGCAAGCGCGTCGTATCCCAAGCAAGACGTCGTGTCCCAAAACATTTTTTTCTCGTCAAAACACGGCATATACTAAATTCGATGTATTCCAAAGTGGTCGTATACCGAGGTATGATTGTATTTAGTCCGTCTATTATCGGTGACGCTACTCAGCCAGGACAGTTGGGAGGCTGTCTGACTAGCGGCGCCCCGAGGTGGTAGAGATGGAGACGACGACGAGAAGAATGGTGAATATGGTGAGAAGAATGGTGAAGATGACGAGTAGAATGCTGAAAACTATGAGAAGAATGGTGAAGATGACGAGAAGAATGGTGAAGATGACGAGAAGAATGGTGAAGACGATGAGAAGAATGGTGAAGATGGTGAGAAGAATGGTGAAGATGGTGAGAAGAATGGTGAAGATGATGAGAATGGTGAAGATGGTGATAAGAATGGTGAAGATGATGAGAAGAATGGTGAAGATGACGAGAAGAATGGTGAAGATGGTGAGAAGAATGGTGAAGATGATGAGAAGAATGGTGAAGATGACGAGAAGAATGGTGAAGATGGTGAGAAGAATGGTGAAGATGACGAGAAGAATTGTGAAGATGGTGAGAAGAATGGTGAAGATGATGAGAAGAATGGTGAAGATGACGAGAAGAATGGTGAAGATGACGAGTAGAATGATGAAGACTATGAGAAGAATGGTGAAGATGACGAGAAGAATGGTGAAGATGACGAGAAGAATGATGAAGACGATGAGAAGAATGGTGAAGATGATGAGAAGAATGGTGAAGATGATGAGAAGAACGGTGAAGATGATGAGAAGAATGGTGAAGATGACGAGAAGAATGGTGAAGATGACGAGAAGAATGGTGAAGATGGTGAGAAGAATGGTGAAGACGATGAGAAGAATGGTGAAGATGACGAGAAGAATTGTGAAGATGACGAGAAGAATGGTGAAGACGATAAGAAGAATGGTGAAGATGGTGAGAAGAATGGTGAAGACAACGAGAAGAATGGTGAAGATGACGAGAAGAATGGTGAAGACGATGAGAAGAATGGTGAAGATAGCGAGAAGAATGGTGAAGACGACGAGAAGAATGGTGAAGACGACGAGAAGAATGGTGAAAATGATGAGAAGAATGGTGAAGACGACGAGAAGAATGGTGAAGACGACGAGAAGAATGGTGAAGACGACGAGAATGGTGAAAATGACGAGAAGAATGGTGAAGATGATGAGAAGAATGGTGAAGATGACGAGAAGAATGGTGAAGACGACGAGAATGGTGAAAATGACGAGAAGAATGACGAAGACGACGAGAAGAATGGTGAAGATGGTGAGAAGAATGGTGAAGACGACGAGAAGAATGGTGAAGATGGTGAGAAGAATGGTGAAGACGACGAGAAGAATGGTGAAGATGACGAGAAGAATGGTGAAGATGACGAGAAGAATGGTGAAGACGACGAGAAGAATGGTGAAGACGATGAGAAGAATGGTGAAGACGACGAGAAGGATGGTGAAGATGGTGAGAAGAATGGTGAAGATGGCGAGAAGAATGGTGAAGATGACGAGAAGAACGGTGAAGATGACGAGAAGAATGGTGAAGACGATGAGAAGAATGGTGAAGATGATGAGTAGAATGCTGAAGACTATGAGAAGAATGGTGAAGATGACGAGAAGAATGGTGAAGATGACGAGAAGAATGGTGAAGACGATGAGAAGAATGGTGAAGACGTCGAGAAGGATGGTGAAGATGGTGAGAAGAATGGTGAAGACGATGAGAAGAATGGTGAAGACGACGAGAAGAATGGTGAAGACGACGAGAAGAATGGTGAAGATGGTGAGAAGAATGGTGAAGATGGTGAGAAGAATGGTGAAGATGACGAGAATGGTGAAGACGACGAGAAGAATGGTGAAGATGACGAGAATGGTGAAGACGATGAGAAGAATGGTGAAGATGGTGAGAATGGTGAAGATGACGAGAAGAATGGTGAAGATGGTGAGAAGAATGGTGAAGATGACGAGAAGAATTGTGAAGATGACGAGAAGAATGGTGAAGATGATGAGAATGGTGAAGATGATGAGAAGAATGGTGAAGATGATGAGAATGGTGAAGATGATGAGAAGAATGGTGAAGACGACGAGAAGAATGGTGAAGACGATGAGAAGGATGGTGAAGATGATGAGAAGAATGGTGAAGACGACGAGAAGAATGATGAAGACGACAAGAAGGATGGTGAAGATGATGAGAAGAATGGTGAAAACGACGAGAATGGTGAAGATGACGAGAAGAATGGTGAAGATGACGAGAATGGTGAAGACGACGAGAAGAATGGTGAAGACGACGAGAAGAATGGTGAAGATGATGAGAAGAATGGTGAAGATGGTGAGAAGAATGGTGAAGATGATGAAAAGAACGGTGAAGATGACGAGAAGAATGGTGAAGACGATGAGAAGAATGGTGAAGACGATGAGAAGAATGGTGAAGACGACGAGAAGAATGGCGACGAAGGACTTGAGCAGCACGACGGGGATCCCACTGCAACAACAGCCCCGAGGTCCCTGACAGGGGCCCCTCTTGTACTGTCACGTGGCCTCGCTCCGCCCCCAGCCACCCCCCCTTTCTAGAACCTACAAGTGGGTTCCTGGTGGGCCCCTTCCGTGAACGTTCCCCTAGATCCCCCTCTCGTGTATATCCTGGCCTGCTGACGTCAGGAATGCCATACGCCGCAGATCTCCTTTTCTGCCAGCAGCCAGCGCTATGCCACTACATGTGTATTATTTGTAGCTGTTTATCATATAAAAATAGTCGCGATGAATACAATGTGGGCAAAAACAAAATGAATCGAGCACTGTATTGTAATACCTCTATAATGTTCACATGAAAGAGACGATAGCCCAGTGGTTCTTAATCTGGGGTGTATTTATTAATTTATAATACATTTTTTTACAATTGAGAACCAAAGGGGTGCAAGGCTGCAATAAAGGTTAAGAAACACTGCTCTCTAGCCAATGGTGAAGGTTAAGAACCACTGCTCTACTCAACTGTAAAGCTGAAGAACCACTGCTATATAGCCTGTCGGGGGACGCTAACTGCTCGGGTGCCATCTGGCGGCCAGAATGTTTGCCGTAGAACGTAAAACAAATATTTGGGGCTGAATGCCAAAGGTTGTAAATATCGGGTAACGCTGTGGTGACATCTGCCCAAAGTAAAAAAGAAAACCATTAAGCAAACTTCAGTGCATGTACAAAATTCTCCATCGCGTTGTCCTTCATGAGGTGCCGCGAGATCAGACCGTGTTCGTCCCAGTGCTCAGCGAGCTGCATTGGCTTCTGGTCGCCCAAACGAATACATTGTTGTGAAATCAAATCAATCTTTACTTACGTAGCACAATTCGTGCATACAATTGCAATACAAAGTGCTTTAAAAGACGAATTTAAAGCGAATGACACAATATGTTTTAATAGCAATAAGATTCATACGTAAAAAAAAACAGACGTAACATTATAATATAAAGCATTAATACGCATACAATCAGGGCACCCTAATTAAAAGCCATATAAGGTCGCTATCATTACACACACAAAGTTCTTGCCACAAACGAACCATAACGATACAATGCTCCAGGAGCATAAAACATCACCACGTGAACTCCGCTCATCCTCGCAGCAGCTGCTTTTGGCCGACCGTCGGACAAAGACGGTGGTCATCGCATTATTGTGTGGCGCTTTCAGATGTATATACGATACATTATACACTACACCACTATACACTACACTACTATACACTACACTGCTATACACTACTGTACACTACACTTCTATACACTACACTATTTTCGTATGTGCTTCTGCGGCCGTCTGCAATGCTCTTCCTCCCAACATTAGCAAGCTGCTGGAGCTACCCACTTTTGAATCATCATTTCGATTGAAAACGAATTTCTTTAGAACTGCTTGTTTAGTTTTTTGTCCTTATCCCACACCTCTGAGTTGCATGGTTGGCTCCGTACCGTGCGAACGAAGTTCAACACACATACGTACTACACTATACACTGCATACTACACTACATTATGCACTACACTATTCTCTAAAGAACTATACACTTCACAATACACTACTATACAGTGCACTCCTAAACACTACACCTCACCTCCGATTAGCACGTTTGACTAAGTACGGTGCGAAAGAAGTTCCACACACACATACGTACATAAACGCGATTGGGTATGAATAAGTTGGGTACGTTTTTGCGACAGGACAAAAAGCGGAAGGGTGTAAAAATTGCGGTGTCACCGTACGGTATTGGCAATTTTTTTGCTGCTTATTGCTGATGCATTTATTGTGATACGTGACCTGTGCTCAGAGACTGCACAATGATGATAATGACGACGATGATGATGTGAAGTGTGTTGCTACACAAACTAAACTTGTTTAATCTGTAGAACTGGACAACAGTAAGGGAGGGAAAAAGGCGAATTCGATTAACTTTGCATTTTGCAACAAATACGACTGGTGGCTATCACCATTACACTTGCTATACCAGAGGATCTAATTTTAACGGCACGAACTTAATTTGAATGCGCCCCAGGGGAAGAAAAAGAGGCCGCCTAGGTTAAAATTAAAGAACGAAAAAGAGGGATCCGAGTTCAAATAAAAAATAAAACTGAAACCTCAAAATTTGAAAGCGTCATCGCAGCGGTACAAAAACTGAAATGCTTGGACGCGGCCAACTTTGACAACCCCACGGGCAAGACGCCGCCCCGTTGGCAAAAACTAAAAATATTCTAAACTCTTTTTTATTGTATCAGGGAAGGCACCACTGAGCTATGTCTATATTTTTCAGAAGCGACCTGGCCATCACAAATGATAGCTCAACGAAGTGGCTTATGACGTGGAAATGTATAGCAGCAACCAAATACCAAGAAATGTGTGTTGTTGGTTATAAATGTGGAGGGAAAACGCCGGAGGACCCAGATAAAAATCCACATGACCATGGAGAGAACATGCAAACTCCAAATATATAACAGGCGTCAGGGTTGGGACCGAACCCATGACCTCTTGTATATCAGGCAAGGTTAGTTAACATCTCCTAGCCACTGTGTCATGTGGTTCTGTGGCTACGTGAGCTGATGTCTATTCACATCACATCGGCATACGTATGTTTTATTATTATTATTTAAATTTGTGTTTTGTATTGTGTATCTGGTGCTCTGTGAAGGTCACGCGTAAAAAGCATGACCTTCGACACTGCTAGTGACGGCAGTCGTCGTTACCAAAGCGACTTCCTCGTAGTTTGGGTAGTCGCTGAATGTCTTTTGGTAGCCGGCGGGGGCAAGAGACGCGGGTCGCACGACCTGCTGGTACAGTGGTGTGCGGATGGTCGGAGGCAGTGGCGGCTGCTGCAAAGACACAAAGAGGAAATAGTGAAATAATCAGTTGCAAAATATCACGTAAACTATAAACTATTTTTTAATATTTATTGTACCAGGTGTAAGGCCCACTTAGCTGTAGCTCTTTTTCAGAAGCGACTTTGCCATCACAAATGATTGTTATTCTATGGTTCTTTCAGTAAAGTCACGTAGAAAAAGATAATAACAATAGAATAAAAAAATGAAAATAAAATGAATAAAAAAATAATACAAATATCAAGACGTTTCGATCGCAACACATCAGGAATAGGGAGGTTAGCCTCTGAAGGAAAGCTGTTTATAAAGGTTTAGGGATGGGCGGGGCAGCTAATGTTAATGTAGGAGAGGGCTCCGACACCGGCAGTAGGTCTACACCAATCAGAGAGCTGTTTATAAAGGTTTAGAGATGAGCGGGGCAGCTAATGTTAATGTGTGAGAGGGCTCCGACACCGGCAGTTGGTCTACACCAATCAAAGCATTGCACCTCGCTCCACACACCCACACTGCTGACGGTGGAGGTGGACAAGAAAACACAAATCAAGTCATGACCCAAAGTGGTTGATGACATCTTTACAATGATTGCTGAGTTTAAAACCGTTGTCTCGGTTGAAATTGTGTCTGTGTCTTTATATATGGATGGCTTCGTGAACAAATCTTTGTTGATAGCCAGTCAGTTTACAAAGTACCATCGTCTTAGAGAAATACATTTCACGTGAGCCAGCCGCATTAAAGTAATGATTAGCCAAGGCAGAAGTATTGGTCCTGCCGTGTTTCAAATCTGCCTTATGTTCACGAACATGGTCTGAGACATGTCGTTTGGTTTCCCCAATGTAACTGCTGCCGCAGATACAGCTTATTTTGTAGACGCTGGGATATTGAATGTCAGGAATCTTGTCCTTCAAAGATGGGATCAGGTCGCGAATATTATGCAATGTGTTAAATCAGACCTGGATCTTGTGTTTGTTCAAGATTTAGGAAATCTTTTTGGTTATCCCTGCTATGTAAGCAAAGGAAATGGTTTTGATTGGATCTTCAGATGGTTCCTTCCTCACGGTTGGGGTGATGGCTTTGTGGATTGTGTAGTGAGAATATCCATTCGCCTTGATAGTCTGGTGTACGTGTTTGAGTTCACAAATGATTGCTCGACGAAGTGGCTTATCATCATCATCATCGTGTGGAAATTTATAGCAGAAGCCAAGTTCTCCAGACACGGGATGTTGATTCTACATTCATAGAGACGGATATAGAACCATAGAGACTGAGACTCAGAGAACGAGAGACCCCACAGAGACCCATAGAGACCCATTGAAAAAATAAACTAAATCTAAACTATTATTTTACCAAGGTAAGGCCCACTGAACTGTATAGCCTTTTTTCAGAAGCGACCTGGCTATCACAAATGATAGCTCAACGAAGTGGGCTTATCATAATAATAATTATATTGCAATTCATAACGTGTGCAAATTTGCGGACGTAATGGCCGCAACTCAGAGGTGCAGAGACAAGCTCAGAGTCACTCGAAAGCGTGGTTGTAGAGGTGAGTTTTTAAGTGTCTCTTGACGGAGACGATTGAGGTGATGCTGCGAATGTGCAGAGGTATGGCGTTCCCGACAAAGGATGCATGGTTTTCCGGTAGCTGTTTTGATGCGTTCTTCAATGTAGGAAGCACGTGAGGCAAGGATAAGTTCGTTGGTTTTCCTGCAGGCAGCTCTATAGGCAGCTCGATCAGCAGGAAGACCACTTCGGGATGCGATCCTTTCAAGGCACCTCCTGATTCGCTTAGCAAAAGATGGCGTCTCTTGAGAGCCACCGAGTGTCATGGGAAAGCTGCCTAGTGGTTTGTGGTTTGAATGGTGCCAGTTTGTCCAGCGCCACCCTCAGGTCAGCTTCTAGCTTGAGAGTTGGATCGGATGATGGGGATAACAATGAAGGCGAATTTGCGAGGAGGTGCTGTAGAGTGGAAAACTTGATACCCTTGAAATTACGGGAGTGGCGGGTGGTTTTAATGGCGATTGGCTTAGGGAATTTGAAGGGAAAATAGGAAGAGGTGGTTGTCGGAGTAACCAGTTTGCGACGATCCAAGTCAGGTTTCAGAACCAGGTCGAGCATACTCTCAACATTTGTTGAGGAAGCTCTGGTGGGGCCTGAGTTGGTGATGACCAGATTATGGCAGAACCAGGTTGACTCGAGGTGGTTATCAATGGAGGTTGGGGTATTGCCAGGGCAATTAAATTCTCCAGTAAGCACGAGCCTGTGAGGTGGGATAAGAATGAGGTAAAGAAATTCGGAAAGCTCGTTTAAGAAGGTAGTGATGCTGCTATCTGGAGGGCGATAGATGTAAATGAGGGAAAAGCACTCGGTGTTAGTAGTGAGGGACACGGACTGGACCTCAGATGTGGCGGGAGCCATCGGTAGATAGAGCTTTTTAACCAATACCTCTGGCGTTGCTGAGCATTGCTTTAACGCTGTGGGCTCACACGAAATTGATTTTTCCAAGACGAAGGTACTCTGCAAACCCACCGGCTATCATCAGATATGTGTTCATGAAGCCATTCAAATATATAAACACAGACACAACTTCAACCGAGAAGATGGGTACAAACTGAGCAATCATTGGAAGGACGTTATTAACCAGGTAAAGTCTTAACTGACTGTGATGTTTCCACCCTACCTGCCTATTTCAGCTGTTATTTCCGACTCTTTGTGTGTCATTCTCTCTTTGTGTCTTCCTCTCACCATGTGTACCTCTTGCTCTTAGGGGTTGTTTGTTCTTGTTGCCCAGCTCTGACATTGACATGCTAATCTTCTCATTAGCACACCTCTGGTGAATGAGCTGTCTCACAATTGACATGCTAATCTCTCACATTTACTTTTACGTACAAATTCCTTGTCTAGCTTCGCCCACTTACCCTTGGGTTGGGCCCACCAAAATCCTATATAAACTCTCGTTGCAGCAGCTCTTTCTCCTAAGTCAGCAGACCTCCTGCTGTGTTTGTTGACGGTTGCTTGTGTTGCAAGCGAAACGTCGTGATCTATTATTTTTTCTACCTACGTGACTTTACCAAAAGAACCAAATAGTGACAGACAACTGAAAATACATGATGAAAAACCACACGCGTGAACACGAATACACATGGAGTGAGACTGAGAAGCACGAAGAGAGATGCATGAGAAAGAAAGGAAAACGAAGAATAATACCAGGATAAAAAAGGCAGGCGCGGATATAAACTGACAGAATAAAGAGACGTTAACGCTTTCCCATACCGATAACGTATGATTAAGTCATCAGATGTTTCTTCTGATTTCATTCCGATGACGTGTACGTGTTCAGAACAGAATCGGAAGAAAAACTAAAATTAAATAATTTTATCGGCACCGAGGCACCCACTGGGGTTGCTTAGCAAAGTTTGTGGCATCAGTTACCGGTGGGTGTGTCACTAGGGTTCTCTGCGGCGAGATACGTCTTTGAAGCGCAATGACGCTACTGCGACTACAACTCTCTCTAAATAAAAGTAATGCTGAGAACCACTTGAGCGTTCCGAAATTCAGGGGTCAACAGGACACCACCCACCTACCCTGCAACTTGCAAACATCTCGGACATGGCAAAGGGGTTTATACGAGTCAGAGACGAACACATATAAAGAGAGAGAACAAAGATCTCCATTCAGCGTTATCACGGTTTTTTGATCAGATCGCGTAAATGTTGTCGTAAACTCACCTCCACTCCAACAAAGCAAATTATTAAGGTGCGTCACGTAAACAAAAACATGTTAAATCTCCGTTAAGCATGCAAATAACAATAGTAGAGGTTCCTGTCAATCAGCGCCACATACAGTGCCGGATTATCCTAAAAGCACAAGTAGCATATGCTATGGGCCCCGCACTTTCAAGGGCCCCGTGCTAAATGATTTTAAGCTATCAATTCTGGTTCAGTGATTCTGCACTTGCTCTATTATTATAGTACTATACTGCCTTCAACTTTTATGAACGACTGGGTGTTTAAGGTTAGCGATTTATTGCATTATCTGGCTGTATAGCAAATGAAAAAATACAATAACATTACTATGCAAGTAAAAAATTCGTGGTTTAATATTTACGTGTTTATTTATTTATTTCGGGGCCCTTTATAACACATGCTACACGCCCCGCACTAGCTTCATCCGGCACCGGCCACATGAAGTGTGTGTGATCTGGAGACTCATGCCGTCCCATTGTGACCCATCCAATCTCACCTTTGCCAAAGATTGGCTGGTCCTCCCAATGCCAGCCGTCCTGCCGCACCAAATCAGACCATGTTAGCGTCGCGCTGGCAATTATACTCTTTGTTTTTTTCAGTAAAGTCACGTAGGTTAATCAAGTGAAGAGAAGTCCCAAGAGGCACGACCTTATATATACTGGTTAAGGGGGGAGGAGCCAGGATGGGCCGCGGGAGAGGAGTTGTGAGATGGTCAGTACTGCTGCTGGAACTGAGCCTTTGTAATGTAGATGGCAGAAGTAGATAAGTAAGCTAGGATTAAGCCGCCTTTTGTTATGCTTTTGGGTAGGTAAAATTCAAAGCAGGTAACTAAAGTAAAAAAGAAGTTAAATATGATAAGCAACGTGTGGTGATGTTGATGGTGGTGCGTGGAGCTGGGGGTAACAGACTGGTAATATGGATATGTTTAAGAAGATAAATCTAAACTGGCTGTCTATCAGTAAACTGCACGGTAACTAAAGTTTAACTTGGTTAATTGCATCTTTCCAATGATTGCTCAATCTGAATCCATCATCTCGGTTGAAGTTATGTCTGTGTTTGTATATCTGGATGGCCTCATGGACAAATATTTGTTAGTATCCAGGAGGTTTGCAAAGTACCTTGGTATCTGAGAACACAATTTAATGCGAGCCAGCAGTATTTTAACAGTGGTCAGCCATGGCCGACGAATTCGTCTTAACATGTTTCAAATTCGACTTGTGCTCGCGAATGCGGTCAGCAATGTGTCGTTTCGTTTCCCCGATATAGCAGTCACCACAGGTACAACTTAATCTGTAAACAACGGGGTACTGTAATTCAGGAATGGCGTCCTTTGCGTATGGGATCAGATCACGGTTTTTGTGTACTGTATTTAATAAATTAAATCACGTCGAGATTTAATTTATTTGTTTTCTTTTTTAACCTACGTGACTTTACCGAAAAAACCAAAGAGTATGAATCCTTGCAGTCACGAAAGCTTCAAATCGAGAGTCAATTAGTCGCTGCAATCAAAGGAGTATTTCATCCGTAGACCAAATGGGAATCCGAGATCAGATTTTTCTCCAGGTTGCATTTGCTCAACCAAGATGAAGGTTTGATCGAGTGAATATTTAACGTTTAGCCAGGGAATAACTGTGGAGACTAGCATCGTCTCACGGGAAAGAATGATCCGGGAGATTAGCCTGCGAGAATTGTGACATTTGGATGCTGATGCGATCAACGTCAGGGTCCAAATGACGTCAGATAACCTTTAATGTCTACTGTGAAGCAGATGCCAGTTTACGCTGCCATCAAACACCGTCACTCCACTCTGCCATCAAACACCGTCACTCCACTCTGATATCAAACACCGTCACCCCACTCTGCCATTAAACACCATCACGCCACTCTGATATCAAACACCATCACTCCACTCTAACTTCACCTTGTCCCTGTCCTCGCACCCGAGCCTGACGTGATGGCAGTGTCAATGGCTTGCGGCTCCTGCATTCCGAGACACTGAAGGAGACATTCTTGTTCATATTCAGAATTATTCTTTGTTTTTTTCGGTAAAGTCACGTATAAAAATAAAATAATAAATTAAATAATAGCATACGACGTTTCGATTGCAACACAAGCAATCATCATCAGGTATAATGAAATAGCGACATAGAATATAACCAGAAAACTATAGACAGACATATAAGCAGACAGATATCACCAAGATACATAGAGAGAGCAACCCAGGTACAGAGAGAGGTGATCGTCTCTGTGGGGTGGCCTTAAATAGACAGAGGGGGGCGGAGGCAGAGAGAGGGAGGGGGTAGGGAAAACATTTACATGTCAATGAGTACGAAGGGAGGGGAGTAAGCAGGCTTAGAGAATATTTACTGAAGGAGATACATTCAAACGTAACACTAAGCTTGTTGTTCTGACGTTCAGACCCCGTGCCCCTACTGGACATCTGTGAAGAACAGCTTCATAGCTCATCGGATTCCTTCAGTATACATACAGATTTCTGAAACACTGCCCTTGCCATCCCAGACCATACTTCACCACGCTTGTCGGTGCAGTTTGGTGAAGTTAAACTATAAACTAAACACGAACAAAAATTGTACGGGGTATGGCCCACTGAGTTATGTAACAGTTGTTCATACGCGACCTGGCTATCACCATCATCACGTGGACATTTATAGCAAACTAGCGGAAGTACCCGGCTTTGCCCGGGTGAAAAATATATTTCTTAAAAACCTTACATATATATACACAGATACTAAGGTATTGTCAAAGCCCGGTGGGCCGTTTGTACATTTCTATACCAACAAATATATAAGAGGCTTGCACAAGTTCAAAAAGTTGTAGAAAGTGTGGGGTAAATAGTTGATGTAAAAGGTTTCCGAAAATTGTGCCCCCCCCCCTCAAAAAATATCTTTACCCCTCGTAGGTATATATACCTACACACCTTACATACAACAGAGGAAGTAGTATCTATTGACTCTGTAGTAGTATCTACTGACAGTACCGTAGTATCTACTGAGCCAGTAGTAGCTACTGACTGTGTAGTAGTATTTAGTGACTGTAGTAACTACTGATCATAGTAGTATTTACTGGGCCTAAAGTAGTATCTACCGACTATATAGTCGTAACGACTAACTGTATAGTATCTGCTGACTATAGTAGTATCCACTGACTATAGTAGTAACTACTAACTCTATAGGAGTATCTACTCACTCTATAATAGTATCTACTGACTCTAGTAGCTACTCACCGTGGTAGTATGTACTGACTGTATAGTAGTATATACTGACTGTAGCAGTATTGACTGACTGTAGTGGTATATACTGACTGTTTTAGTATCTACTAACTCTATATAGCAGTATCTACCAACTCGATAGCAGTATCTACTATCACTACAGCAGTGTATACCGACTGAGGTGGTACCTGCTATCACTACAGCAGTGCATACTGACTGGTGGTACCTGCTATGATTATAGCAGTGCATAGTGACTGGTGGTACCTGCTATGATTACAGCAGTGCATATTGTGGTGGTACCTGCTATGATTACAGTAGTGCATATTGTGGTGGTACCTGCTATGATTACAGTAGTGCATATTGTGGTGGTACCTGCTATGATTACAGCAGTGCATATTGTGGTGGTACCTGCTATGATTACAGCTGTGCATACTGACTGGTGGTACCTGCTAGGATTACAGCAGTGCATATTGTGGTGGTACCTGCTATGATTACAGCTGTGCATACTGACTGGTGGTACCTGCTAGGATTACAGCAGTGCATATTGTGGTGGTACCTGCTATGAAGACGACGAGAAGAATGGTGAAGATGACGAGAAGAATGGTGAAGATGACGAGAAGAATGGTGAAGATGACGAGAAGAATGGTGAAGGCGACGAGAAGAATGGTGAAGATGATGAGAAGAATGGTGAAGATGACGAGAAGGATGGTGAAGATGGTGAGAAGAATGGTGAAGATGACGAGAAGAATGGTGAAGATGACGAGAAGAACGGTGAAGATGACGAGAAGAATGGTGAAGACGATGAGAAGAATGGTGAAGATGACGAGTAGAATGCTGAAGACTATGAGAAGAATGGTGAAGATGACGAGAAGAATGGTGAAGATGACGAGAAGAATGGTGAAGATGACGAGAAGAATGGTGAAGACGATGAGAAGAATGGTGAAGACGACGAGAAGGATGGTGAAGATGGTGAGAAAAATGCTGAAGACTATGAGAAGAATGGTGAAGATGACGAGAAGAACGGTGAAGATGAGAAGAATGGTGAAGACGATGAGAAGAATGGTGAAGATGACGAGTAGAATGCTGAAGACTATGAGAAGAATGGTGAAGATGACGAGAAGAATGGTGAAGACGATGAGAAGAATGGTGAAGACGACGAGAAGGATGGTGAAGATGGTGAGAAGAATGGTGAAGACGACGAGAATAATGGTGAAGACGACGAGAAGAATGGTGAAGACGACGAGAAGAATGGTGAAGATGGTGAGAAGAATGGTGAAGATGGTGAGAAGAATGGTGAAGATGACGAGAATGGTGAAGACGACGAGAAGAATGGTGAAGATGACGAGAATGGTGAAGACGACGAGAAGAATGGTGAAGATGACGAGAATGGTGAAGACGACGAGAAGAATGGTGAAGATGATGAGAATGGTGAAGATGATGAGAAGAATGGTGAAGATGACGAGAAGAATGGCGACGAAGGACTTGAGCAGCACGACGGGGATCCCACTCCAACAACAGCCCCGAGGTCTCCTACAGGGGCCCCTCTTATACTGTCAGCGTGGCCTGGTGGGCCCCTTCCGTGAACGTTCCCCTAGATCCCCCTCTCGTGTATATCCTGGCCTGCTGACGCCACAGATCTCCTTTTCTGCCAGCAGCCAGCGCTATGCCACTACATGTGTATTATTTGTAACTGTTTATCATATAAAAATAGTCGCGATGAATACAATGTGGGCAAAAACAAAATGAATCGAGCACTGTATTGTAATACCTCTATAATGTTCACATGAAAGAGACGATAGCCCAGTGGTTCTTAATCTGGGGTGTATTTATTAATTTATAATACATTGTTTTACAATTGAGAACCAAAGGGGTGCAAGGCTGCAATAAAGTTAAGAAACACTGCTCTCTAGCCAATGGTGAAGGTTAAGAACCACTGCTCTACTCAACTGTAAAGCTGAAGAACCACTGCTATATAGCCTGTCGGGGGACGCTAACTGCTCGGGTGCAATCTGGCGGCCAGAATGTTTGCCGTAGAACGTAAAACAAATATTTGGGGCTGAATGCCAAAGGTTGTAAATATCGGGTAACGCTGTGGTGACATCTGCCCAAAGTAAAAAAAGAAAACCATTAAGCAAACTTCAGTGCATGTACAAAATTCTCCATCGCGTTGTCCTTCATGAGGTGCCGCGAGATCAGACCGTGTTCGTCCCAGTGCTCAGCGAGCTGCATTGGCTTCTGGTCGCCCAAACGAATACATTGTTGTGAAATCAAATCAAACTTTACTTACGTAGCACAATTCGTGCATACAATTGCAATACAAAGTGCTTTAAAAGACGAATTTAAAGCTAATGACACAATATGTTTTAATAGCAATAATATTAATACGTAAAAAAAACCAGACGTAACATTATAATATAAAGCATTAATACGCATACAATCAGGGCACCCTAATTAAAAGCCATATAAGGTCGCTATCATTACACACACAAAGTTCTTGCCACAAACGAACCATAACGATACAATGCTCCAGGAGCATAAAACATCACCACGTGAACTCCGCTCATCCTCGCAGCAGCTGCTTTTGGCCGACCGTCGGACAAAGACGGTGGTCATCGCATTATTGTGTGGCGCTTTCAGATGTATATACGATACATTATACACTACACCACTATACACTACACTACTATACACTACACTGCTATACACTACTGTACACTACACTTCTATACACTACACTACTTTCGTATGTGCTTCTGCGGCCGTCTGCAATGCTCTTCCTCCCAACATTAGCAAGCTGCTGGAGCTACCCACTTTTGAATCATCATTTCGATTGAAAACGAATTTCTTTAGAACTGCTTGTTTAGTTTTTTGTCCTTATCCCACACCTCTGAGTTGCATGGTTGGCTCCGTACCGTGCGAACGAAGTTCAACACACATACGTACTACACTATACACTGCATACTACACTACATTATGCACTACACTATTCTCTAAAGAACTATACACTTCACAATACACTACTATACAGTGCACTCCTAAACACTACACCTCACCTCTGATTAGCACGTTTGACTAAGTACGGTGCGAAAGAAGTTCCACACACACATACGTACATAAACGCGATTGGGTATGAATAAGTTGGGTACGTTTTTGCGACAGGACAAAACGCGGAAGGGTGTAAAAATTGCGGTGTCACCGTACGGTATTGGCAATTTTTTTGCTGCTTATTGCTGATGCATTTATTGTGATACGTGACCTGTGCTCAGAGACTGCACAATGATGATAATGACGACGATGATGATGTGAAGTGTGTTGCTACACAAACTAAACTTGTTTAATCTGTAGAACTGGACAACAGTAAGGGAGGGAAAAAGGCGAATTCGATTAACTTTGCATTTTGCAACAAATACGACTGGTGGCTATCACCATTACACTTGCTATACCAGAGGATCTAATTTTAACGGCACGAACTTAATTTGAATGCGCCCCAGGGGAAGAAAAAGAGGCCGCCTAGGTTAAAATTAAAGAACGAAAAAGAGGGATCCGAGTTCAAATAAAAAATAAAACTGAAACCTCAAAATTTGAAAGCGTCATCGCAGCGGTACAAAAACTGAAATGCTTGGACGCGGCCAACTTTGACAACCCCACGGGCAAGACGCCGCCCCGTTGGCAAAAACTAAAAATATTCTAAACTCTTTTTTATTGTATCAGGGAAGGCACCACTGAGCTATGTCTATATTTTTCAGAAGCGACCTGGCCATCACAAATGATAGCTCAACGAAGTGGCTTATGACGTGGAAATGTATAGCAGCAACCAAATACCAAGAAATGTGTGTTGTTGGTTATAAATGTGGAGGGAAAACGCCGGAGGACCCAGATAAAAATCCACATGACCATGGAGAGAACATGCAAACTCCAAATATATAACAGGCGTCAGGGTTGGGACCGAACCCATGACCTCTTGTATATCAGGCAAGGTTAGTTAACATCTCCTAGCCACTGTGTCATGTGGTTCTGTGGCTACGTGAGCTGATGTCTATTCACATCACATCGGCATACGTATGTTTTATTATTATTATTTAAATTTGTGTTTTGTATTGTGTATCTGGTGCTCTGTGAAGGTCACGCGTAAAAAGCATGACCTTCGACACTGCTAGTGACGGCAGTCGTCGTTACCAAAGCGACTTCCTCGTAGTTTGGGTAGTCGCTGAATGTCTTTTGGTAGCCGGCGGGGGCAAGAGACGCGGGTCGCACGACCTGCTGGTACAGTGGTGTGCGGATGGTCGGAGGCAGTGGCGGCTGCTGCAAAGACACAAAGAGGAAATAGTGAAATAATCAGTTGCAAAATATCACGTAAACTATAAACTATTTTTTAATATTTATTGTACCAGGTGTAAGGCCCACTTAGCTGTAGCTCTTTTTCAGAAGCGACTTTGCCATCACAAATGATTGTTATTCTATGGTTCTTTCAGTAAAGTCACGTAGAAAAAGATAATAACAATAGAATAAAAAAATGAAAATAAAATGAATAAAAAAATAATACAAATATCAAGACGTTTCGATCGCAACACATCAGGAATAGGGAGGTTAGCCTCTGAAGGAAAGCTGTTTATAAAGGTTTAGGGATGGGCGGGGCAGCTAATGTTAATGTAGGAGAGGGCTCCGACACCGGCAGTAGGTCTACACCAATCAGAGAGCTGTTTATAAAGGTTTAGAGACGAGCGGGGCAGCTAATGTTAATGTGTGAGAGGGCTCCGACACCGGCAGTTGGTCTACACCAATCAAAGCATTGCACCTCGCTCCACACACCCACACTGCTGACGGTGGAGGTGGACAAGAAAACACAAATCAAGTCATGACCCAAAGTGGTTGATGACATCTTTACAATGATTGCTGAGTTTAAAACCGTTGTCTCGGTTGAAATTGTGTCTGTGTCTTTATATATGGATGGCTTCGTGAACAAATCTTTGTTGATAGCCAGTCAGTTTACAAAGTACCATCGTCTTAGAGAAATACATTTCACGTGAGCCAGCCGCATTAAAGTAATGATTAGCCAAGGCAGAAGTATTGGTCCTGCCGTGTTTCAAATCTGCCTTATGTTCACGAACATGGTCTGAGACATGTCGTTTGGTTTCCCCAATGTAACTGCTGCCGCAGATACAGCTTATTTTGTAGACGCTGGGATATTGAATGTCAGGAATCTTGTCCTTCACAGATGGGATCAGGTCGCGAATATTATGCAATGTGTTAAATCAGACCTGGATCTTGTGTTTGTTCAAGATTTAGGAAATCTTTTTGGTTATCCCTGCTATGTAAGCAAAGGAAATGGTTTTGATTGGATCTTCAGATGGTTCCTTCCTCACGGTTGGGGTGATGGCTTTGTGGATTGTGTAGTGAGAATATCCATTCGCCTTGATAGTCTGGTGTACGTGTTTGAGTTCACAAATGATTGCTCGACGAAGTGGCTTATCATCATCATCATCGTGTGGAAATTTATAGCAGAAGCCAAGTTCTCCAGACACGGGATGTTGATTCTACATTCATAGAGACGGATATAGAACCATAGAGACTGAGACTCAGAGAACGAGAGACCCCACAGAGACCCATAGAGACCCATTGAAAAAATAAACTAAATCTAAACTATTATTTTACCAAGGTAAGGCCCACTGAACTGTATAGCCTTTTTTCAGAAGCGACCTGGCTATCACAAATGATAGCTCAACGAAGTGGGCTTATCATAATAATAATTATATTGCAATTCATAACGTGTGCAAATTTGCGGACGTAATGGCCGCAACTCAGAGGTGCAGAGACAAGCTCAGAGTCACTCGAAAGCGTGGTTGTAGAGGTGAGTTTTTAAGTGTCTCTTGACGGAGACGATTGAGGTGATGCTGCGAATGTGCAGAGGTATGGCGTTCCCGACAAAGGATGCATGGTTTTCCGGTAGCTGTTTTGATGCGTTCTCCAATGTAGGAAGCACGTGAGGCAAGGATAAGTTCGTTGGTTTTCCTGCAGGCAGCTCTATAGGCAGCTCGATCAGCAGGAAGACCACTTCGGGATGCGATCCTTTCAAGGCACCTCCTGATTCGCTTAGCAAAAGATGGCGTCTCTTGAGAGCCACCGAGTGTCATGGGAAAGCTGCCTAGTGGTTTGTGGTTTGAATGGTGCCAGTTTGTCCAGCGCCACCCTCAGGTCAGCTTCTAGCTTGAGAGTTGGATCGGATGATGGGGATAACAATGAAGGCGAATTTGCGAGGAGGTGCTGTAGAGTGGAAAACTTGATACCCTTGAAATTACGGGAGTGGCGGGTGGTTTTAATGGCGATTGGCTTAGGGAATTTGAAGGGAAAATAGGAAGAGGTGGTTGTCGGAGTAACCAGTTTGCGACGATCCAAGTCAGGTTTCAGAACCAGGTCGAGCATACTCTCAACATTTGTTGAGGAAGCTCTGGTGGGGCCTGAGTTGGTGATGACCAGATTATGGCAGAACCAGGTTGACTCGAGGTGGTTATCAATGGAGGTTGGGGTATTGCCAGGGCAATTAAATTCTCCAGTAAGCACGAGCCTGTGAGGTGGGATAAGAATGAGGTAAAGAAATTCGGAAAGCTCGTTTAAGAAGGTAGTGATGCTGCTATCTGGAGGGCGATAGATGTAAATGAGGGAAAAGCACTCGGTGTTAGTAGTGAGGGACACGGACTGGACCTCAGATGTGGCGGGAGCCATCGGTAGATAGAGCTTTTTAACCAATACCTCTGGCGTTGCTGAGCATTGCTTTAACGCTGTGGGCTCACACGAAATTGATTTTTCCAAGACGAAGGTACTCTGCAAACCCACCGGCTATCATCAGATATGTGTTCATGAAGCCATTCAAATATATAAACACAGACACAACTTCAACCGAGAAGATGGGTACAAACTGAGCAATCATTGGAAGGACGTTATTAACCAGGTAAAGTCTTAACTGACTGTGATGTTTCCACCCTACCTGCCTATTTCAGCTGTTATTTCCGACTCTTTGTGTGTCATTCTCTCTTTGTGTCTTCCTCTCACCATGTGTACCTCTTGCTCTTAGGGGTTGTTTGTTCTTGTTGCCCAGCTCTGACATTGACATGCTAATCTTCTCATTAGCACACCTCTGGTGAATGAGCTGTCTCACAATTGACATGCTAATCTCTCACATTTACTTTTACGTACAAATTCCTTGTCTAGCTTCGCCCACTTACCCTTGGGTTGGGCCCACCAAAATCCTATATAAACTCTCGTTGCAGCAGCTCTTTCTCCTAAGTCAGCAGTCCTCCTGCTGTGTTTGTTGACGGTTGCTTGTGTTGCAAGCGAAACGTCGTGATCTATTATTTTTTCTACCTACGTGACTTTACCAAAAGAACCAAATAGTGACAGACAACTGAAAATACATGATGAAAAACCACACGCGTGAACACGAATACACATGGAGTGAGACTGAGAAGCACGAAGAGAGATGCATGAGAAAGAAAGGAAAACGAAGAATAATACCAGGATAAAAAAAGGCAGGCGCGGATATAAACTGACAGAATAAAGAGACGTTAACGCTTTCCCATACCGATAACGTATGATTAAGTCATCAGATGTTTCTTCTGATTTCATTCCGATGACGTGTACGTGTTCAGAACAGAATCGGAAGAAAAACTAAAATTAAATAATTTTATCGGCACCGAGGCACCCACTGGGGTTGCTTAGCAAAGTTTGTGGCATCAGTTACCGGTGGGTGTGTCACTAGGGTTCTCTGCGGCGAGATAAGTCTTTGAAGCGCAATGACGCTACTGCGACTACAACTCTCTCTAAATAAAAGTAATGCTGAGAACCACTTGAGCGTTCCGAAATTCAGGGGTCAACAGGACACCACCCACCTACCCTGCAACTTGCAAACATCTCGGACATGGCAAAGGGGTTTATACGAGTCAGAGACGAACACATATAAAGAGAGAGAACAAAGATCTCCATTCAGCGTTATCACGGTTTTTTGATCAGATCGCGTAAATGTTGTCGTAAACTCACCTCCACTCCAACAAAGCAAATTATTAAGGTGCGTCACGTAAACAAAAACATGTTAAATCTCCGTTAAGCATGCAAATAACAATAGTAGAGGTTCCTGTCAATCAGCGCCACATACAGTGCCGGATTATCCTAAAAGCACAAGTAGCATATGCTATGGGCCCCGCACTTTCAAGGGCCCCGTGCTAAATGATTTTAAGCTATCAATTCTGGTTCAGTGATTCTGCACTTGCTCTATTATTATAGTACTATACTGCCTTCAACTTTTATGAACGACTGGGTGTTTAAGGTTAGCGATTTATTGCATTATCTGGCTGTATAGCAAATGAAAAAATACAATAACATTACTATGCAAGTAAAAAATTCGTGGTTTAATATTTACGTGTTTATTTATTTATTTCGGGGCCCTTTATAACACATGCTACACGCCCCGCACTAGCTTCATCCGGCACCGGCCACATGAAGTGTGTGTGATCTGGAGACTCATGCCGTCCCATTGTGACCCATCCAATCTCACCTTTGCCAAAGATTGGCTGGTCCTCCCAATGCCAGCCGTCCTGCCGCACCAAATCAGACCATGTTAGCGTCGCGCTGGCAATTATACTCTTTGTTTTTTTCAGTAAAGTCACGTAGGTTAATCAAGTGAAGAGAAGTCCCAAGAGGCACGACCTTATATATACTGGTTAAGGGGGGAGGAGCCAGGATGGGCCGCGGGAGAGGAGTTGTGAGATGGTCAGTACTGCTGCTGGAACTGAGCCTTTGTAATGTAGATGGCAGAAGTAGATAAGTAAGCTAGGATTAAGCCGCCTTTTGTTATGCTTTTGGGTAGGTAAAATTCAAAGCAGGTAACTAAAGTAAAAAAGAAGTTAAATATGATAAGCAACGTGTGGTGATGTTGATGGTGGTGCGTGGAGCTGGGGGTAACAGACTGGTAATATGGATATGTTTAAGAAGATAAATCTAAACTGGCTGTCTATCAGTAAACTGCACGGTAACTAAAGTTTAACTTGGTTAATTGCATCTTTCCAATGATTGCTCAATCTGAATCCATCATCTCGGTTGAAGTTATGTCTGTGTTTGTATATCTGGATGGCCTCATGGACAAATCTTTGTTAGTATCCAGGAGGTTTGCAAAGTACCTTGGTATCTGAGAACACAATTTAATGCGAGCCAGCAGTATTTTAACAGTGGTCAGCCATGGCCGACGAATTCGTCTTAACATGTTTCAAATTCGACTTGTGCTCGCGAATGCGGTCAGCAATGTGTCGTTTCGTTTCCCCGATATAGCAGTCACCACAGGTACAACTTAATCTGTAAACAACGGGGTACTGTAATTCAGGAATGGCGTCCTTTGCGTATGGGATCAGATCACGGTTTTTGTGTACTGTATTTAATAAATTAAATCACGTCGAGATTTAATTTATTTCTTTTCTTTTTTAACCTACGTGACTTTACCGAAAAAACCAAAGAGTATGAATCCTTGCAGTCACGAAAGCTTCAAATCGAGAGTCAATTAGTCGCTGCAATCAAAGGAGTATTTCATCCGTAGACCAAATGGGAATCCGAGATCAGATTTTTCTCCAGGTTGCATTTGCTCAACCAAGATGAAGGTTTGATCGAGTGAATATTTAACGTTTAGCCAGGGAATAACTGTGGAGACTAGCATCGTCTCACGGGAAAGAATGATCCGGGAGATTAGCCTGCGAGAATTGTGACATTTGGATGCTGATGCGATCAACGTCAGGGTCCAAATGACGTCAGATAACCTTTAATGTCTACTGTGAAGCAGATGCCAGTTTACGCTGCCATCAAACACCGTCACTCCACTCTGCCATCAAACACCGTCACTCCACTCTGATATCAAACACCGTCACCCCACTCTGCCATTAAACACCATCACGCCACTCTGATATCAAACACCATCACTCCACTGTGCCATCAAAAACCGTCACTCCACTCTAACTTCACCTTGTCCCTGTCCTCGCACCCGAGCCTGACGTGATGGCAGTGTCAATGGCTTGCGGCTCCTGCATTCCGAGACACTGAAGGAGACATTCTTGTTCATATTCAGAATTATTCTTTGGTTTTTTCGGTAAAGTCACGTATAAAAATAAAATAATAAATTAAATAATAGCATACGACGTTTCGATTGCAACACAAGCAATCATCATCAGGTATAATGAAATAGCGACATAGAATATAACCAGAAAACTATAGACAGACATATAAGCAGACAGATATCACCAAGATACATAGAGAGAGCAACCCAGGTACAGAGAGAGGTGATCGTCTCTGTGGGGTGGCCTTAAATAGACAGAGGGGGGCGGAGGCAGAGAGAGGGAGGGGGTAGGGAAAACATTTACATGTCAATGAGTACGAAGGGAGGGGAGTAAGCAGGCTTAGAGAATATTTACTGAAGGAGATACATTCAAACGTAACACTAAGCTTGTTGTTCTGACGTTCAGACCCCGTGCCCCTACTGGACATCTGTGAAGAACAGCTTCATAGCTCATCGGATTCCTTCAGTATACATACAGATTTCTGAAACACTGCCCTTGCCATCCCAGACCATACTTCACCACGCTGGTCGGTGCAGTTTTGTGAAGTTAAACTATAAACTAAACACGAACAAAAATTGTACGGGTTAAGGCCCACTGAGTTATGTAACCGTTGTTCAGACGCGACCTGGCTATCACCAGCTCGACGAAGGGTGCTCATCATCACGTGGACATTTATAGCAAATTCCACGCGACTACGGGAAGAGAGAGAGACAGGCAAACTCCAAATATACAGCAGGCACCTAGGTCGGGATCGAACCCATGACTTCTTGCATACTAGGCGAGGGTAGTTAACATATCCGAGCCACCGTGGCACCGCAATCAGCTGACTCACAAAGGGTTATTCGGTTGCCATCTGCAGGATTTGGGTTGCGAGCAGAGTGACTGATCGGCTTTGCCATCACGCCCCGAAGGCCATGACACCGCACCAGTGCAGTGTCGCAGGAAATCGGCAAGAATGGCATAGAGTGCAAAGAAAAAATGAGGCATCCTAAGGTCATGAAAAATCCCCTTAGTTCCCATTCAAGGGAGACACTGGGATGACAAAGTCCAAATAATCAGAATATTTATTTATTACTGGAGGAGCAATGCGATGAGCCATTAAGCTCCTTTTCACAGATGTCCAGCATAGTCACGGGGGGGGGGGGTCAGAACGTTACAAAAAATACTAAACACAATACGCAAGCACGATATGAGTACAAAGTAGCGAATAGGGGTCGAACCCACGACCAATCTGTACACCAGGCGAGGTAATTAACATCTCCTAGCCAGCGCGGTGCCCTCCAAGTAAAAGTTGACATGCCCAGGATAAGTATATCAGAAACAACCGCGACGCACATTGATGCAGCAGTAGCCGTGGGCCAGGGGAAGCAAGGCTCAAGGTTACCGAGGCCATCCCAATTAGTGTAGTGACTGTACTTGTCACTGTGTGGTGCCGGGACTTGTGAAGTCACGGCCGGTAATGTTGCCATTGCGGGCAGCCCGGGTTACGGGCTGCGGTACCAACCCTAGCGATGGTTGGGTGAGCGCTGGTTAGCGCAAAGGCACCACGAGCAGTGTGCGGTGCCGGTTCTCGGTGAGGGAGCGAGAGCGAGCGTCAGCCAGCCAGAGTTACTCTGGGGCATGACACTCTGGCTGACCTGTTGTCACGTGACCGGACGATACTGGAGGGGGGCCACCGGTGGACGGGGGCCGGAGAGCTCTCGGGAACATTCGAGAAGGAGCCCAAGGAGCCTGGAAGGTAGGTGGGACTAAGAGTAGAGCCAGCCCCAGCCCGGGAGCATATAACGAGAGCTCCGTGAGGAGCTCGGGGTTCTTCGTGTGTTGGTGTTCGAAGATCCACATCGGGGAGAAGAAGCCCCTAGCCATGCAGTCCGGAACCCAGCTTGTGGTCCGCACCGGGATAGTGATAAATATTGTTGCTCCCAAGTTAATGTCTGCGACTCAGTTGGACTCACTACAACTGGTGTTGGAAATAGCCAACTTGCTCGGTTATAGCTAGCGGTAGACTATACCTCGCAGAGTTCGTGTACGAGCGTCGGACGACTAAAACAACGAGGAGCTGATTCCGCCCACGGCCGCCTAGGATGGAGCGGAGATGCTGACCATGGAGCAGGGCGCAGTCGGGGCGTGGGGCTCCTTGCCTTCTGTTGAAGAGCTCGTCAGGGACGCGCATGGCCAACTCGCTGACCTCCTCCAAGTGGCATCCGCCATACTTGTCGAGATGCAGTCCTTCCTCTCGACGGCGAAGAAAGGAGTGGCGGAGCTGTCCGAACGAGGTAACTTGGCCGCCATTTTGCGAAAGGCGGGAACGCCATCGCCGCGCCCGCGCTCGTGGGCGCCATTTTGTCACCAGCAGGGAATGCGGAGCCCGCCATGCTTGAAGCGGGGACGTACTCGTCATTTGACGTCCAGTTGCCTCGCCGTCGGCTGCCCTTCATTAAAGAATTTGTTGCCTCCAGCGGAGATTGGGTGGCGTTTAAGAGAAGATTCTTCACGAATGCCGACGTAGGGGGATGGTCGGAGGCAGACACGCTGAAGGCGCTCCCCACTGCCCTCGATGACGATGCTTTGGCGGCGTTCCTCGCCATCCCACCGTCCGAGAGGTCGACCCTCACGCAGGCATTTAACCAGATGGCCGCCACTTTTGAGCCTCCAATGGACACCCACCAGAAGTTCGCAGTGCAGTGGAGAGGTGATGCTAAGTCGGCCCTCGCGTATAGGAGTGCGCTTTTGGTGCTGGCGAAGGCCGCGTATCCGCTCATGGGTCAAGATGGCCATGACACGCTGGTGCTTGAGAAGCTGTTGGAGCTTGCCAAGGAACTTCTCACTGTCCTTCCCGCCGATGGCCGGGACATGTCTTCGCTCAAGATCGCAGGTGTATCAAGGCGCAGTAAACCCTGCAACGTGAAAGGGTGTTGGTGGTGTGCTCCACGTCTTCCGCGGAGCCCGTGGGTCACGCGGTCGGTGAAGCTGTGTCCGCGTGCTCGCTGCATCAGCGGGGTGCCGATTGATGAGGTGATGGTGATCGGCGGTGGGATGATCGGCGGCGGGCGAGGGCTGCTTCATCCCGCTGAAGGGGTGGACGGGTCACTTGCTACAACTGCGGCCTGCCGGGGCATGTCCAGTCAGGCCAAACGCAGAAGCTGAGGGCACTCCTGCGGGAATTTTCAGACATTTTTAGTCAGTCAAAATCTGATATCGGTCGGACATCTCTATTGAGCCACCATATTGATACGGGAAATGCTGCCCCCATTCGCCAGAATCCTTATCGCCTGAGTCCAGCTGAGAAGGACCATATTCGTGTGGCGGTGGATGAAATGTTGGCCGCAGATATCATTTTGCCATCCACCAGTCCATGGGGGGATCCAATTGTCCTTGTTAAGAAACAAGTCGGCAGTCTGCGGTTTTGCGTCGATTTCAGAAAACTTAACAAGGTGTCAGTCACGGATGCCTACCCCCTGCCCTGCATGGACGATTTTTTGGATGCTCTGGCAGGCGCGCGGTATTTTTCGACTCTCGACCGTTTGTCTGGGTTTTGGCAATTGCCGCTTGACGAGGCCTCGAGGCCCAAGATGGCTTTTCGGATGCTCCAAGGGCTATTTGACTTCAACCGACTTCCGATGGGGTTCCATTCCGTGCCTGCCACTTTTAAGAGACTGATGGAATTGGATTTGGTGGGCCTACAGTGGAATTCGTGCCTGATATATTTAGATGACGTCATCGTTTTTGGCTGCACGTTTGATGAACATTTGGATCACCTGCGGGCTGTTTTTGCTAAAATGCGCACCGCCGACTTGAAATTCAAGCCCCAAAAATGTCATCTGCTCCAAAAATCTGTCCATTACTTGTGCCACATAGTCAGTGAATCGGGCATCGCGACGGACCCTTAGAAAACTGCTTGTGTTCGGACGTGGCCGATACCCACCTTGGCCACCGAGGTGCGCAGTTTTATAGGCTTTGCCTTTTATTATTGCCGGTTTGTTGCGGGTTCGCGTCCATTGCTAAACCTCTCCATGTCCTGACGGCCAAGTTCCAGAAATTTCATTGGGGGGAGGCGGAGGAGGCTGTGTTCAGCTCCATTCGCGATGGCCTTGTTAACGCTCCTCCCCTACGTTATCCCGACTTTTCGCTGCCATTCATCTTCGATGGCATGGTCGAGTGCTTACACTGGACTCTGACCGCCATGTTGAGTCACTTGGTCAGCGAGTCGCAGGTTGATTGGGATTTGCATATCCCTGCGGTTCTTGCCGCTTACAGGATCACCCCCACACATCCACCCACTACTCTCCCTTCTTTTTGATGTATGGTAGAGAGTATGACCCTCCCATCGATGTGCAGTTGCAGGCCGCACCCGCCCCGAAGGTATCCAAAATTTCCGATTCGATATCACATCACGATGGGCAAACTTACTAAAGCACGGGAAGCTGCCAGTGTTAACTCCCGGGCCAGGCAGCTGGCCAATGAGCGGCTCAAGGGTGGCCGCATTTCCATGCACGCTTGGTCGCCGGGCGACAAGGCCTGGTTGCATTGTCCGCAGGTGCCAGTGGGCACGTCACCTAAATTTCTGCAACCTTGGAGAGGGCCGGTTGATGTCGTTCGGGTCATGAGGCCCCAATGTGTCCAGGTTCGGTTTGGTAAGTGGAGCTGGTTTGCACACCCCTCTCACCTGAAACCATTCATCACACCGTGCGAGCTTGTTTCATCTCCATATATGTAGTGACATAAGAAGGGAGGGGCTGCTGGGGGCTCTGGGACCCTGGGCGGGCCAGGCGCTTAAGCCTCTTGGCGCCAGGCGCTGGGTTCCCAGGCGGGTCAGACGCTTAAGCCTCTTGGCGCCAGGCGTTGGGTTCCCGGGTGGCCCAGGCGCTTAAGCCGCTTGGCGCCACCAACGGGGGGGGGGGGGGGGGGGCTGTGTGTGCTCTGTGGGATATCTGGGGGCGCACACGGCCCCACCCCTCGTTGTAGACTAGGCATAAAAGGGG